GTCAGGAACGCGCGCGCGCGCTCCCCTTTGGGCCGGGGCTAAGTTTAGCCACCGCGCTGCACCGGGGACCCCCCGCACCCCGGGCGTGGGTTGGGGGAGGGGGACACGTCCGCGGCCTCGCGCGGAGCCTGCCTTCCCCATGCCTGTCCGGTTAGCGGGGAATTCGCACGGCGCTAACTTCAGGCAGCGCCTCGTTCCTGGACGGAGAAGCACCTTTCTCAAAGTTCGCATGTTTCCTTTTTCCATAGAAAACCGAGAGGATATACTGAATGCTAGTGACAAATTAACAGAAGTCCTTGAAGAGGCCAACACTCTGTTTAATGGAGGTGATTCATTATCGTGCACTACCATACACACATTTTTCTGAGCATGTTAGTTTTGTTGGAGTCAAAGTGCTTTCCCAGGTGGGAAACCGAAGTCTTTCCGTGCAGGGACAATGCTACTTTTATTTGCATTTACCTTTTGCTAGGCATATACCAAGTGCTTCATATCCAATTCTGCGGGGGGGGGGTCCCCCACAGTGTTTGAACAGGCCTCTCACCCTTATTTTGTTGCCTGTGAACATTGAGAGCTATGCATGCATGGATTCGTTGACTGGATGAATAGAGAACCGAGCCAGCCTTGGACATTGTGTTGTTTTTCCTGACCTCTGCTCTCGGTTTCCTTTCCCTCAGTGAGTGGTTCACCTATAATGCAGTGCAGGAAGTCGGGCCTCCATGCACCTGCTGGGCACCAATCAGAGGCAGGAGAGAAAGGATCCAGCTCAGAGCATTGAAGTCTGGATTATGGCACTTTGAAAAATAATTTTAGTTTGAGTCAGGTGCTGGTGGCTCCTGCCTTCTGTCCTAGCTACTTAGGAATCTGAGATCTGAGGATCAGGGTTTGAAGCCATCCTGGGCAGAAAAGTCCATGACACTGTTACCTCCAATAAGCTACCAAAAAAGAAGGAGGTGGAATCATGGCTCAAATGGTGGAGTGTTAGCCTTGAGCCCAAAAGCTCAGGGACAGTGCCTGGGCCCTGAATTAATGTTCCAGGACTGACACCCACGTGCACACACGAATCCTAGTTTGAATTAAACGCAGCAGCCGCAGCTGTGGTAGTGGTGGTCTGTGTTCAGTGACAGAGGACAGATGGCGGTACCCTGTAGGACAACTACCCAGACTATTGTTCCTCCAGACCCCTCACAGTTCTGTGGGAACAGAAAGGGGGAATGCAGATAAATACAGTGGTTTAAAAAAAAGGTCAACGGGATTGACTATGTACCAACTCCTTAATTCCTCATATCCTTTGAGGACTGGAATACTTGTAGTATGGTTGCTTATCTGCTTTGAACACCTGGAGTCTACAAGTTCCCCCCTTTGGGTCTTTTTGGATATGACCACGGTCTCCTTTCAACTCTCCTTGGTCTACTACATTTGCTATATCTAAATTCTCCTGCAGAAACCTCAGAACCAAATAGTCCTCTTTCACTGGGCTAGACCCCTCCCCCACCCCCATAGCTACTTGCTTCTATCAACAGCCTGGATCCACAATCTCACCACTGGCATTTCTGACTCACTTACTCCCTTGATATTTACTCTACATCTGATTAGGTCTTTACCCACCTTGTCACTTCTCTTCTACTTGTCGATTTCCTGGGTTTGAGGTGGAGGTTTAAGTTGAAATTATTCACTCAATTTGGCCCCAGGAATTGCTCACAAATAGAATTTTAGATGCTTGGCATCAGTGGATCTGATGTCTAGTTCTTTAGAGACCTTGCATCCATCCAGAACATGGTATTTTCACTTTTCTTGTATGTGCCATGGGGTTGATGGGCAAGAAGACAGAGAACAGAGCCCAGGAACAGGTCTACCGAGCAACCAGTGTCTGTCCACGTTTCTACTTTGATCCCTTCCTCATTGCACCTTTCTTCCCCCCCCCCCCTTTCTCTATCCTGCAGCTTGATATCAGGGCCTGGATGCTGTTTCTTAGCTTTTTCACTCAAGACTGCTTCTCTACCACTTGAGCTGAAGCTCCACTTTCAGCTTTTCAGTGATTAATTGGAAATAAGAGTCTCAGACTTCCCTGCCTAGACTGACTTCAAGCCGTAATCCTTAGATCTCAGCTTCCTGAATAGCTTAGATTATAGGCATGAAATAGCTACTTCCATGGGGTTTTTTAGTCAGGCTAGAATGATGAAAACCTTTCCCCTTTGAGAACAAACAATGAGTAAGAACAAAAACTTGAGTCAAGTTCTCCAGCCATGTCTTGGCTGTTTCTGTGAGGATTGCTCAGGAAGAAAATCACCACTGGGAATGAAATAGCCTTGAGGGGCAAGCCGGGTAGTGGCGTTGAACTTGAATAGGTTCATCTCCTCTTAGCTTCCTTGAGAGTCCTCTTTGTAGGCATTCTCAAACCAGTCTTTTGTGATCTCTGTCATTACAGGGTCTATTAAACTTTGCCTTTCTGGTTGTACTTTTTCTTCCAGTTGGTTGAACCTTCCTTCACCTCCCTCGACTTCATACCATCTCGCTCCTACATGTAGTGGACATTCAGTGATTTCTATGGAGTGCTGATTCAATTGGGTTAATTGAGTCAAAGGGAAAAGCCAGATGTTTCACATGACAGAGGTTTTGTTACTCTAGGATTATGAAGCAGTTGTGGTTCAGTATAAAAACTAGAGACCAACTGGCTTTTGGGAAGCCTGGTCAGCCCTGAGATTTTGGGATGGAGCCACTTCTAGAAGTGGGTCTGGTCTGTTTCTAGCCTATCCAGACATTTTGTAAGTAGTTAGAAATAATAAGGAAAATGTCTAAGGATACTGTGTATTTCCTAATATGTATGTTTCCTTCTTTTCTCCATAGTGTCCCGAGCAAGAGAAGCAGTCTTAGATGCCCACTTTCTCGTTCTGGCTTCAGATTTGGGCAAAGAGAAAGCAAAGCAGCTGCGCTCTGATCTGAGCTCATTTGATATGTTAAGATACGTTGAAGCTCTAGTAAGTTCAAAGCTACAGAGTTTTAATTAAAAAATTTTTTTTGTATAATTACCTTCTCTGCTTCTATCACTTTGTCAGTAATTTTCACTATATTTCCTTTTTCTTTTTTTTTTCCCCCCCTGGACGCAGCCTCCTCTAAAAAGATCTTATCAAATTAAAAGATGAAAGATGAGCCAGCCATGTGTTAAGAGTTTCGAGTGGGAACTTGGAGCACTTTGAGAATCTCTCAGTTTTTTGTTTTAGGACTCTGAGTGCTCTGGTTACTCAGTCACTTCATATGTATTCTAGATCCTTCTCAGCCTGGGATAGGTTACAGGGGAGGGCACACTGCAGCGGCAGAGCTCAGTTGGAGAGGAGTTAGACTGATGAGGAGGTCTATTTTGGTTTGCCTTTGAGCATATTTAATAACCACATGATACCATGGCAGTTTTTGTTTTGTTTTGATTTATTCACCTTTCTTTGCCTCTTAGTAAGTTTCAGTATTTACACCTGAAATTTAAAAACATTTTTGGATGAAGTTGTCAAAAAAAAAAAACAAACACATAGTGATCTTTCCTGGCACTTTGTTGTTTGAGACAGCTCTGTCCTGGCACACAAAGATCTGTGTTGGTGTGAACGTTGACTTTAGGGCTGCATACTTTGTTTAAATGGTTATTAGAATGATTTAGGCTGGGTGTGGTAGACCAGGTCTGTGTGGCCTACCTGTTGAGACTGTCTCAAAATAAAAATTAAAAAGTAGGGGTACAGTAGCTCAGTGGGTAGAGTACTTGTCAAGCATGTGTGAGACCTTGGGTTTCATCCTCAGTATTGAGGATAGAGGTAGGGAGGGGAAGAAGAAGGAAAAAAAAAGAAATTTAGTAAGATCTGACCAAATAACGTGATTATTTTGTAAAGTCATAATGCAGATAATGATTTTCCAATTTGTTTTTAAAACCTTAATATAAACCTTAAAAATGTTTTATTTGAAACAAAGTTTTATTTAAAAGAATAATACAGGCTGGGAATGTGGCTTAGTGGTAGAGTACTTGCTTAGCATGCATGAAGTCCTGGGTTCAATTCCTCAGTACCACATAAACAGAAAAAGCTGGAAGTAGTGCTATAGCTCAAGTGGTAGAGTGCTAGCCTTGAGCACAGAGAGGCTCAGGAATAGTGCCCAGGCTCTGAGTTCAAGCTCCAGGACTAGTCAAAAAAAAGGAATAATACATTTAGGAAAACACAATACTTAGTATATCTATGTAGATACTAAGCTTTGTTGGTGTGTGTTTGTTTGGGTGCCAGTCCTAGCCTAGGCACTGTGCCCGAGTTTTTGTGTTCAAGGCTTGTGCTCTTTCACTTGAGCCATAGCTCCACTTCTGGCATTTTTTTTTTTTTTCCGTTGGTTGTGGGGCTTGAATTCTGGGCCTAGGCTCCGTCCCTGAGCAATTCAGCTCAAGGTGAGTACTCTACCACTTAGGCCAAATGCCACTTCCAGGTTTCTGGTGGGTTATTGGAGATAAAAGTCTCAGAGACTTTCCTGCCTGGGCTGGCTTTAACCATGATCCTCAGATCTCAGCCTCCTGAGTAGCTAGGATTATAGGCATGAGCCACCGGTGTCCTAACTAAAAAATTACTTTTTAAAATAAGGTAAAGCTCTCCACTTAAAAAAATAAAATATATTTTAGAAGTCTTAAAGCAATAAATATAAAACTTGACATGTATGGTAGTGTGGACTTGGGTTGGGGAAGGCCTTCTCAGGAATAAAGCATCCAATGTAGATGCTGAGGAGAAGGTTGGTAGACCTAAGCAGACAACAGTGGAAACTTCCTGCTAAGAAGATAGGGTGAAGCCGGGCGCTGGTGGCTCACGCCTGTAATCCTAGCTACTCAGGAAGCTGAGATCTGAGGATTGCGGTTCAAAGCCAGCCTGGGCAGGAGAGACCATGAGACTCCTATCTCCAATAAACCACCAGAAAACCGGAAGTGGCGCTGTAGCTCAAGTGGTAGAGCGCTTGCCTTGAGCTGAAGAGCTGAGGGACAGCGCCCAGGCCCAGAGTTCAAGCCCCACAACCGACAAAAAACAAAAAAAAAAGATAGGGTGGTGACGGGATGCCAGGTGCAGGATGGCTGGGAGCCCATCATGTGACTTCAACCAGGCCCTTGCAAGTACTGTAAGCTCTTTGGAGCTTACTTACCCTTGATAAAGTTGAGCTCTTCAAGGGTTTTGTGGTTATTGTTTATGACATTACCATTTTACTTGAGTAACTTCTAGCATTTGACAGGATAATGCAATGAGCTATGATCTATTTTGAAGAAAGTTCCAGGAGCTGCTGAGAAGAATGTATACTGGGTTGTTGTTGGGTGGGTGGAAAACTGTAGATTTCAATTTAGTTCACTTGAGATATGGCATCATTTAATTAGGAGGCTTCTTTGCCAATTCTCTGGTTGGTAGATCTGTCCTTTGTGAGAGTGGGGTATTAAAAGTTTCCTAGTATTATTATATTTGGATCTATCTTTTTCCTGTAAGTCTGAGGGTATTTGCTTAACATATTTGGGTGCTCCATTGTTGGGAGAGTTGATAATGGTATTATCCTCTTCTTGGATTGTTCCCTGTATTAATATGTAGTGTCCTTTGTCTTTTTGTATTGATTTTAATGAAAAGTTTATTTTGTCAAATATCAGGATGGCAATCCAGCCTTCTTGCTGGGAACATCTGCATGGTAGATTTTCCTCCATCCCTTCACTCGAAGCTTGTTTTTATCTTTGGCTGTGAGATGGGTCTCTTGAAGACAATAAACGGATAGATCTTGTTTTCTGATCCAATCTGTAGTTCTTTTTCTTTCGATTGCTGAATTGAGTCCATTAATATTTATGGTTATTATAGAGAGATACATTGTGTTTCCTGTCATTTTCCTGCTTTCCTCCTGTGCTTACTAAGTTGGTTTTCTAGTGATATCTGTCTGATGGGGATTCCTGATCATGATTATTTTCTTCAAATTGTATTCCTTCTCTTAATATTCTTTGTAGTGCTGGCCTATTTATGAACTCATTTAGTTTTTCTTTACTATTAAAAATTTTAGTTTCTCTATTGAATGTGAATGCTAGCTTCACTGGATATACCAGTCTGGGTTGGCAGTTACTGGTTCTCAGGGCTTGGATGGTACTTTCCCAGGCTTTCCTTGCATTCCGTGTCTATGTGGCGAGATCTGCAATGATTCTAATGTTTTCCCCATTTAGTATAGCTCCTTCTTTGCTTTTGCCCCATGTAAGATTCTTCATTGTTTAAATCTAGCATTTTTAACTATGATGTGCTTAGAAGTGTTACTCGTGGGATCCTGTTTGCTAGGTGTTTGTATGCTTGCTTCTGTGAGATTTTCTCTTTTAAGATTGGGGATATTTTTGGTGATAATTTTATTGAATAAGTGTTGCATCCCTCTATTCTGGTATTCCTCACCTTGGTCAACCCCAATTATATGAAGTTTAAATTTCTTGGCATTGTCTGCTTGTTCTTGGACTTCCCTTTGGCATATTTTGAATGTTTTTTCCATTTCTGTAACTTTTTTCACCCAGTTGCTGCATTTTGTCTTCAGTATCTGATCTTCTATTTTCCATTTCGTTCACTCTATTAACTATGGCTTCCATTGTGGTTTGCATGGAGGAAATCGATCCATTTATCATTTCTATGTCGGTTCTCAAAGTATTAATTTCGTCTTTTAACGAGGTGTGTACTGCATCTATTCTTGAGGGTATCTCTTGTTTGAAATCCTGGGCTTCTTTTGATAAGTCGTTTCTTTGTTTAAATTTCAGATCCATTTCTCTCTTTAATACTTGGGTCATTGTCTCTATCAGCTCTTGGATGTAGCATTTGTCTTCCATTCCTTTTTTGCTTTCACTGGCGTTCTTCCCTGAGTGACTGTTGGCCTTTGGGGGTGGTTTGCTGTCTTGGCTGTTGATGAATCTTGTAATTTTTTGCTGTGATTTTCGCATGAGGATTCAGGGATTATTGGAGTCAAATCCCAAATTTGTTTTGGTCAATAGGTGGCTGCATGAGGATTTAGGGATTATTGGAGTCAAATCCCAAATTTGTTTTGGTCAATAGGTGGCTGCCTTCGCTTGGTTTTGGGTTGGTTCTTGGGTCAGTAACACCTGCCTGGAACACACAGGTGTGGCTTCTTCCACCAGCTCTGGCTGCTGGAGCCCTGGAGCCCAGTTCCTGACTTCAGACTAGGGGCCAGCAGCACAGCTCTGCTTGGTCTTCTGCCCCCCGCGGACCCAGGCACGGGCTACTGGAGCCCACACACCAGTTCCTGACGTTAAATTGAAGAATGGCAGCGACCTGGCTAGCTGGGTGCACTCCACGGGTTGCTGGGGTGCTTTCACAGTTCCCAGCTTTGGTGGGACTAGTAGCCTAGGCGGGAGGGGGAGGGGTCCGGGTCTAGCTCTGGGGTTACTGCTAGCTCTGGTCTCCCGTGGCGGGATGGGGGGGTGCCCCCCCAAGAGTACTCACTTGTTCTGAACCTGGTTAAGGGCTGTCCAGTGGTGGTGTGGCGGGTCGCTGTATCTGTGTACTATAGATTGCTGGTTGCCACGGTGCTCTGTTGCGAGGACTGTGGGTAGGGCAGGGTGGCTGATGGGGGTGGTAATGGGGGCTCCGGGTCTGGGTTTCATGGTCTCAGTCTCTGTTTACACTGTCCAGGTCCAGCACCAGCCCTGGAGTTCTATGGATCACTGTGGCTTTAGGGTCCCAGGCAGCCCCGGGCAGGGCTGCTTTGGCGGCTTGGCCACCAGCAAGGGGTAGGGGAAGGGTCTTTGTTCAGGTTCTCTGTCTTGGAGCTTTTCATTTGGGATGCCATTTTATGTATGTATGTCAGCATTTTTAGTGATAGCTGAACTCTTTGTGATACAACAATCTCTGATGAGCTTAGTTCTGGCTGGCATTCTTTTTTTATCTTATTTTTTTTTCTTCTTTTGGTGCTGGCCCTAAGACTTGAACCCAGGGCTTAAGTGCTGTCCCTGAGCATTTTTGCTCAAGGCTAGTGCTCTGCCACTTGACCCATCACTCCCCTTGGGGCTTTTTGGTAGTTTATTAGAGATAAGAGTGTCACACACTTTCCTGCCTGGGCTGGCTTCAAACTTCTATCCTCAGATCTCACTCAAGCTTCCTGAGTAGTTACGATTACAGTGTGGACCACTGGCACACAGCCTGGCTAGCATTCTTGATTGACCTGCAGGGGGCTAGAGCTGTGTCTTTCTTGTGGGCACCTATACCCAGTAGAGGAACAGTAGAGCAGTACATGTTAATTGTGACAACCAAAAATTTTAGCACTGCCCAAAGATCCCTAATCACCCTGGTGAGAATCGCTGGTCTTTAGTTATTTCAGTTTTTCACCCAAAGTTCTACATGCATTGGAGCATATTTTCTATCAAAGAGAAGATAACCTTTGAGTAGGAATTTATATATAATGTTTACAGTAATTGAGCCAACATAATAATATGCTGAAAACAAGCTTTGTTTCTGGCCTCTTAAAGGTGTAGGGTAAACAAAGGAGGAGGCTGCAATGCTTGGTAAGAAATGTACGCATTATCCTGCCCATGTAATTGTAACTCCTCTGTACAGCATGTTCACAAATAAAATTAAAAAAAATATTATTGGATGTGGTAAATGATTGCTTGTGGCTTTACCTTTTTTTCTTCTTTTTCTTTTTCTTATAGCTGACATATATGGGTATAAATCCACTAGAAGCTGAAGAATTCATCCGTGATGGAGATAGTTCTGATTTGGAACTTATAGTTTATGACTCCTGGACAATACCGGGAAAAACAGCAGAAAACACCTTTAATAAAACCCATACGTTCCACTTCCTGTAAGATCATTTAAAAAATTCAATAGACTAAACCTTTGTCTTTTATTGTAGGGACAAATGCCGTTCCAAATTAGAGAGGTTACCACCATGAAGCCATTTTTTGGACTATGTAGACTAGAAGTCCATGAACTCTTCCTGTAGATGGAGCCTCAAAGCTATCTCTCATTCTGCTTTAGCAAAGCTCTGTGCTGGCATGTTGGTATTCTAGCACATCAGATTTTGGGTCTGTAGCAAACATGGGGTTTTGTCCTATCATCTTTGAAATTCTTGTCATGTAAGACACTTTTTACTCAGTACTTAAGATTTGTGCATTATACACAAGGGCCATTAATTGTAGTGTCCTGTGGAGTGATCACTCAACGTATTTGACTATTTGAATTACTAGCACATCAACTGCCTAGTTTACTGTTTGGATACAACTCAAATTTTTTTAAATCATAATTTTATCATCTTTAAGGATGCAACTCTAATTTTCAGGAGTTTTTCTTTATACTCAGATGAAATTGGCTTCTGTCTACCTTCTTAGTTTGATACCAGGGAGAAACGAAGAAGTGCTTTAGCTGGTTCTTTTGTTAGACATCATTCAGGCACCATGGTCCAGTTGCCTAGGGCATATTTTTCTTTAGGATAACCTTCTAAATTGGTTCAGTCCTTTCTTCCTTATATGATACAGCTCCTGGACATTAATTCTTTAATTTACCCTTTTAGACATCTTGAGATTAAGGTAGAATCACAGTTAGAAGACCTGGCAGGTACAACACCAGCCAGTAGGACACTGTGAAGGTGTTTGAGGAAGTATCTGATTGAGCCAAGCTCAAGGAGTTCTTCTAGAAAGACAGAAGGAGCATACAGGATGTCACAAACCGTCTTGTTCTGGTGATGCAGCCCACATTACTGATGTCTGATCTGAATTTGATTCTGCCATGCCTACTGCTCTCAGTGAAATTAAGCAAAAACACTTGAAAGTATATTTTTCATTAGGTTGGGTTCGATACAAGGAGAGTTCCCTGTGCCAAAGCCCCGAATTGATCGTCCGAGAAGACCCCGTACAATAGAAGAGCAGCGGGCAATGCCTGCTCAGGTTTGTTCCTTTAAACTACCTAAAGTTAAAATACCATTGATGTCATGTACATGCAGTTGGCCATCTTTTTTTAGGATTTGGAGTCAGGTTTTGTTTTTAAATCAACATTTTATTTAAGCCTTAAATTTTTTATTTTTTTTGGGTCCGGTCATGGGGCCTGAACTCTGGGCCTGGGTGCTGTCCCTCAGCTCTTCAGCTCAAGGCTAGCGCTCTACCACTTGAGCCACAGCGCCACTTCTGGCTTTTTTTTTTTTCATTTTGCTTATGTGGTGCTGAGGAATCGAACCCAGGGCCTCAGGCATGCAAGGCAAGCGCTCTACCACGGAGCCATCTTCCCAGCCCCTTAAATTTTTTATTTTTATAGTTTGGATCTGTACTTGTATACCAGGATGTCTCAGATTCAGTGCTGTCAACACTTTAAGGCTGGATAGTGCTTTGCTCTTCGGAGATCTGGGCATAATGAGGTTTTAATAACATGTTTAACCTCTACCTACTAGATGCCAATCCTGCCTTCAGCACTCAGTTGTGACAGCCAAAACTCTTATTATTGGCAGATGATGCCTGGGTAGGAGAGGGGAGTATTAAAATTGAGAATCACTGTTTTAAAGTTCTTTTTGTATTTTTAACTACAGATTTTAAGTTGGGGCTAAAATTGCTAGCAATTCCTAAGAAAACACTTCAGGAGTTTAGGTGTGCAAGAGAGAAGGAAAGATTATGAAGTAGCAAGCAAGGAGGCCAGGCAGTTTGACAGTGGATTCATTTTTTCCAGTTGAAATGTATGGAAGAATCTCATCAGGAAGCAACAGAAAAGGAAGTAGAAAGAATCTTGGGATTGTTGCAAACGTATTTTCGAGAAGATCGTAAGTATGACAAAATCAAAAGTAGAGCAGTTTGAGCTGGTGGCTAACTACTCAGAAGGCTAAGATCTGAGGATTGCAGTTCAATGCCATCCTAGGTAGGAAAGTTCAAGGCCACCAAAAAGCTAGAAATGGAGCTGTAGCTCAAGTAGTAGAGCACCACCCTTGAGTTTTGATAAAGGGATAGCACCCAGATCCTGATTTCAATCCTCCCCAACATCACATGCAAGCATGATCAATTGGATTTATCAGATGTTTTATGTAACCAGTCAGGTTATTTTTATTTGACATGTTTATTTAAAAGGCTCTTAAATTAAAATTTAATTATAGTGTTTGAATGATTTTGATTCTTTCTGGTAATATATATTTAATGAGACTTCCTCCTTTTAGAAATAACTGCTTTTTTAGAAGATTTTTTCTTAATAATACTTGCCACTAAAGTGAGAAAAGAATCCAACTCCTATCTTATCTCCTTACCCACAGAGATAGTCATTTGTGCAGCCTGGTACATCAGCTTTCACTGCTTGCTGTTTTTGTTTCAAAGTAGTTTGGTTGGTTGCTGTTGGTTTTGTTTCTGCGTTTTCAAAACCAACATTTTCTTCTGGAATGTGACTTCTATGTGGTTATTCTTCCCTATTAATACATAGGGAGCCTTTTTTCATATATTTTCTCCTACTGGATAAAGTCCTTACTTCATTTTACTCTTGTACAAGATGGTAATATGATAATCTTGAGTGTAATAATGTTGCTATAGAATGGCTTTTAAGAGGATTGCCAGGCCAGCAGGGACCTGTTTTAATGCTGTGCCAAGTTGACCTCCAGAATAGTTGTGTCTCCCTCCCAAACCAGAAGAATGTATTCCTTGCCTGTCTGTGGCAAACACTAGGGTGTAAATCTTATTAGTCAGCAAGTGTCTTTCTGTTTTGAAGATCTTTTTCTCTTTTTTCTGTAGCTGATACTCCAATGTCCTTTTTTGACTTCGTGGTTGATCCACATTCTTTTCCCCGTACAGTAGAAAACATCTTCCATGTCTCCTTCATTATACGGGTAAGAGTTCAGATTCCCTTAATGTTTTTCTATGCTTTTTAAAGAGTATGTAATAAAAGCTGTAGAGGGAGGATACTGGCATAATAATACAGGTTTGTTTCACTAGAGCAAAATATTGGCATTCTATTAGTACGAGAGACTAGGTAAAATATTTTGTATACCTTGCTTTTTTGTATCTTTGAAATTACAGATTATCTTAATCTAGAAGTCCAAAGTCTGAAATGTTCCAAAATATGAAACTTTTTGAGTGCTGATATAATACCAAAGAGAATTCTACATGCAACCTCATGTTTCGGATCATAATTAAAAACATTGCCCAAAAACTTGTATTGACTGGTTTCTCAGAAATACAAAAGAATATTTTGTCAATATTCCCAGTGGTAGAATTATAAATAAAAAAAAATGTGGGCATAATAAAGTATGCAAATTAAAGAACTCAGAATTTTCCGTAGGAGATTCAAGGTTGGAGAGTAGTAGGTGGTGAAAGTTGATTAGAAACCTGAGCCAGACCCTGCTTAAAGAAAGATATTAAGAGAATTAGTATCTTCCACATTGTCTCATTAGAGTGGATGTTGATTGTCTACAGATTTTTCTCTATGAACAATTTTTTGCACCTAGTGGCTATAAGCTTGAGCCTAAACTTTGGTCTTTTTAAACTGTTTCTGTTTTAGGATGGTTTTGCAAGAATAAGACTTGACCAAGACCGACTGCCAATAATAGGTAAATTATACTGGAAATTTTAGATTCAGAGATAATATTCTATTTTATTTATATGTTTTTGGGTCCAGTCTTGGGGCCTGAACTCTGGGCCTGGGCGCTGTCCCTCAGCTCTTCAGCTCAAGGCTAGCACTCTACCACTTGAGTCACAGCACCACTTCCGGCTTTTTTCTTCTGTGGTGCTAAGGAATCGAACCCAGGGCCTCATGCATGCAAGGCAAGCGCTCTACCACTGAGCCACCTTCCCAGCCCCAGAGAAAATATTCTAGAGTATACAAAATGCTTTTTTAGCTGGCGCTGGTGACTCATACCTGTAGTCCTAGCTACTCAGAATGCTTGAGATCTGAGAGTCGTGGTTTGAAGTCAGCCTGGACAGGATAGTCTGTGAAACTTATTTCTAATTAACCACCAAAAAGCCAAAAGTGGAGCTGGGGCTCAAGTGGTAGCTTTGAGTGCTACCCAACTCAAGTCAGAAAACATGACCATGGTTTAAACTTTTAATAGATTCAACCTTCATTGAGTCAACATCCGTTGTAAAAATTAACATTTTAATGGAGCAGTGTTTTCCAGGATGGCAGCTTCTTCTCTTTCTGAGATTCTGTGAATCTTGAGTCCTGGAATATTTCCCTCTATCTGTAACTCATGTCCTTCTCAGTTCTCCAGGAGTGAACATGGTCCTTTCATTGCACTTAACTTCACGTTGACAATTTCATATTGCACTCTTAGTTGCTTTGTGTTTTAGTGCATACATATGCAGACATTTTCTGATGTTTTTGATATGTTAGTCTACGTTTTTTGTTTTTTTCCAAATGGAAGCAAGTGGGATTACTTGCAAGTTGATAATGCATAAAATCCTTGTCATATTTTAAATATCTTCTCAGTACAAGTTTCATTTCTGTTATCATTTGCTGTTCATATTCCCTGTTCTGATTTGATCATCTATAACATGTCTTTTAAACAGAGCCTGTTAATATTAATGATGAAAGTGAAGGCATCGATCATCATACCCAAATTAGGAATCAAGGAATTATAGCTCTGAGTTACCGTGACTGGGAGGTAAGAATGTGTGTCGCCCTCCTTGATTCTGGGGCTGACTTCTCTTGGTATGAATGCACTGCCCAAATGTTCTTTTCTTCCCCACTAGGAGATTGTGAAGACCTTTGAGATTTCCGAGCCTGCAATTGCTTTGGGACAGAGCCAGCAGAGGCTAAGTGCTTGATGCCACTACAGGTGACATTTTCTATATGATAGCTGTGCAGTTTTATTACAGTTTATTTGGCAATCCGAATCACACTTTTTTCCTACTCTATTGAGTGCTCTATTGTTCATAGAGAAAAATCTGTAGACAATCAACATCCACTCTAATGAGACAATGTAGAAGATACTGGTGCAAGACAAAGGCAGGATCTCGTGAGTGGGAGTCCCTTTATCCCTTCTAAGGATTGGTTACTTCAGTACAGCTGGAAATTCAGTGCAGGACACTTTGTTCCAGATCTGGATGGGTTTTTTTGTTTTTGTTTTTTGTGTGGGTCCTGGGTCTTGAACTCAGGATGTAGGAGCTGTCCCTGAGCTTTTGTGCTCAAGGCTACTGCTTTACAACTTGAACCAGAACTCTACTTCCAGCTTTTTTTTTTTTTTAATGGTTAACTGGAGCTAAGAGTCTCATGGATTTCCCTGTCAGGGCTGGCCTTGAACCATGTTCCTTAGATCTTAGCCTACTGAGTAGCTAGAATTAAGAGCATGCTCCACCTGCACCTGGTTAGATTTGGATTTTTAATGCCCTAACAAATTAATAACTTAATGAGTTAACCCAGGGCTTTGGCGTAGTAGATAGGCACTCTGCCACAGGAGCCACGCCACTCCTCACCCTGCCCAAAGGGGGCATTTTTGAGCAAGATAATCATTACTTTTATTTTTCTAGCTCTAATAATTAACATGAGCCTTTTAAGGAATGTAGTTTTTATATGTTTCAATTAATTGAGCTTTTGTTCTATGATCATTTCTGTTAAAGCATTTTGAGGGAAAGAGGCTATGCATTACTATATATGTGATATATCTATATCAATTTAAGTGATACATATGGATGTATATTTATGCATATATATATATATATATATATATATATATATACACGCACATAGACACACACACATGCCCCAATAATGTAGAATAATCTAGGCCCTACTCACTGAGGGCACAGTCCTTAGATTTCATTTATATGTATCACATGATCTTTGCATTTATCAACTGTTAACCAGCTCTTTTTCCTCCTTTTTTAGGACTCCATTGGATCATGTAATCCCAAAAAGGAAGAAGCATGTATTGTACATATTGTATGATTAAGCATTTTTAAAGATAAGTTTTAGCAAATTGTAGCTTTTGATAGTTAAGAGGATTGTTATGATTTGTCTTTGATTAAAGGAGATTCACTGCCATATAAATAATTGTATACAACAAATAATTGTAGTTACTCATTATTTCTCTTCTTGGAGTTTTTCTAGTGTTGTCCTATTAAAAGTTTTTCTTAGGTTGTCAGTCCTATGGATCGTTTTTCAGTTCTTTCAATGTCTCTACGTTGTAAAGTTAGCCAGTCAAATCAACCTCAGGTTATCAGGTGTTTCATACAAAATTGCGTTTACACATTAAAATGGTCAAATAGCTGTAACTGCATACAACTTAGCCTTTGATTTGCACACAGGGAGCTACTTAAGCCTTTGGTAAGCCAGGCTGAACCACTGTCTCCAGCAAGGCCAGCCCTGGGTCTACACACATGCTTCTCATCTCTTTGGAACTTTCTAGTCTGTCCTTGGTGCATTCTGGGCTCCTTCTCTCATCTTCCAGCTTTCTGCTTCTACCCTGTTTCTCTCCACTCCTCTGGGGTCTGGAGTAGAGGTGCCTCTTTCTGTGGAAGACTGGATTATGGTTCTTCCTGCTTCTTAGTCATTCCTCTCTGTCTGTATCTGGTTTTCCCCTTAACTGTAGTCATGTCTCTAAAAAGTTGCTTTTTATTGTAGTTTGTTTTTGCAGTGCTAGGATTTGAACTCAGGGCCTAGCATTTGCTAGGTTGGCGCACTCTAAGGCTCACTTGAGCCTTACATCCAGTCCTGCCACTTGCTGTTTTTTCAGATGGAGTCTAGTGGACTTTTCTGCTTAGGCTGGCTTCAAACTGCTATCCTTCAGCTCTTAGCTGCCCAAGTAGCAAGGATTAGGCCACCAGAGCCTGGCTTTGCCTCCTCTTTAAGTAAGACTCACTTGCAATCTCCTCTTCTTTCTCTTTTCAAACCATAGCAGAGTGACACCTCCTTTCCTACTAGTCTACCCAGTGAGTCTGGATTAGGTTACTGTTATCAATTCTTTTCCAAATTAAGGATAAAGGCAATGCATTTGACATGTAAGATTTGTCTTGCAAGTACATCTTTGATACCTATTCTTTCTTTCTCTAATTCCTTCCAGAATCTTATCCTCTTGATTTTTAGACTTGTAACAATCTCAAAACTATGTTTGGTGCTTAGATTTCTTGAAAAACCTAGATATATGTCAACAATTGCTTTTTTGGAGCACTTACGAATTACTTTAGCCAAAGGTATAAAACTGCTCCCTGGATCTTATAATCCCTGTGCTGATGCTTTTATCACATTATTTACTCAAGACAGAAACCTAGGGTTTTATTTTCTCCCCTGCAACCACTGTACCCTATACCTTAACCAGTCACTATTTCTTCCCTGGTCTTGATTTTCTCCATCTTACTGAGGTTACTACTATAGGCCTCCATCTGGTGGTCTCTGATTCCTATCTCATCTCTTCCAAACCTCTTCTAAGCCATTTATCAATCTCTTAGTGATTGCCCACTGTGCAAATTACCATAAAATATGTCAGCCTAAAAAAAGAAATATAATCCAGAAAATAACTTAAGCTTTATTATTTTTTGCTTCTGTTTTTGTGGTATTGAAGTTTGAACTTAGGACCTTTGCTTGTTAGGCAAGCATTTTCCCACTTGAGCCGTGTCCCAGGCTGTACTTTTCTTCTTCCTTAGTTGACATCTTAAGAATGGTGGTATACTCAAGAACTCCTTTTGGAATGTTTTTTGAATTTTTACCTCTTTGGATTTCTTCATCAGAACGGTCACTTCCATATGTGATTTGTGGTTAGGCTGGAAGAGAGGATACGCTGTGACCCTTTTAAACTCCTCCTTCACCTTCTTCTCCACCTTAGGTTTTAGAAGAGGAACATAGCTGGAGAGTTTCTGGGCATCTCTTTCATCGTTTCTCTGTTTTGTGAGTTTTCGCCCTCGAATCATTCGTTCTTCATGTTTGTTTATCTGCTCCTTTGCCCATGCCACCTTGGGCTTTTTTGTTTCTCTTTTGTATAGGTGCTGTACTTTTTCTTTTTCTTCATTGTACAGTGTTATTTTGGGGAAAAGCATTTCACTTGGAACTTTTTGAGGGAGTAGTTTGTACTTGTTGTCTCTGAGGCCTCTAGCATGTTCAGCTCGGTAAATGTGTTTCTGTATATGATTCAGTTCCCTCTCAGAAACTAGATAGTCCCATTTTTCATCACCTTCAGACTTTTTGCTTTGTGATTGCTTCTCTTCCTCTATTTTCATTTCCCATTCTGGATCCGTTTTCTGGTTCCATGTTTGCTCCGTCATCATTTCTTGAAGTTGATGGTAGTGTGTTTCTGCTTTAGAACTCTGGGAGTCAAAAGACACAGTCTTTAGTTTATCAACTGTTCCAGCCTCCTTCTTAAATTCTCGGCATAACAGCTTTCTTGCATCTGAAGAATGGACGCCACCTACACACTTGTCACAGGGAGAAAACGAAGGGAGTTGTGTTACAGGTCTCAAGTGGGCTGTCAGCTCTGCCAGCTCTCCTACACCATACCCATGTCTTCCTCTTCAAACTTCCTCTACTCTCTCTTCGAGTGCTCCCTCCTGCTTGAGGGCTTTGCCTTAAACTCAGCACCCTCTTCCTTTTCCCACTTCCCAGTCACCTCCCTGCCTTTATCCCAGACTGCTTTCTTGGATTTATAGTAGAAAGATTGACTTTCTCATATCAAAAGCCAATTCTACCACTTCTGCTTATTAAACTTCAAGAGTCTCAATTTTGTAATTATTAAATTCCTTTTCCTACATTATCAAAATTGCCTACTGGCTAGGTGCCCATGGCTTATGCCTGTACTCCTAGCTATTCAGGAAGCTGAGATCTAAGGATCAAGGTTCAAGGCCAGCTGGGGCCTTGAGACCCTTATCCTCAATTAACTACCACAGACATTCCTACTCATCTCTTCCCACAGCATAAAGGTATGTAGCATCTTTGAACAAAAAAAGCAGTCTTCCTTACCTGTCTATCCCTCTCTGAGTTTTAACTGTCTTTGTCCTCACACCTCCACAATATACTCTGATATGGTCATTTATATTCCTTCCCCAGTCTCAACCTCAACTGTCAACTCTTTCCTAGTTTGCCAGTGTACTCTATGTAATCGTCTCATTTCTGCTCCTGCCATTATTTCAACACATTTAATAAAGACAACCATTTTTCTCCTCTGAAATATTTCACACTTCTGCCTTCCAGACACAGGACTAAGGTGATCTCACATCCCTCCCAGATAGCTGTGTAGCCCAATTCTCTTCCTATCTCATAGTTATTTCTTCATCTGCCTTCCTGGTCTGTCTTTTAAATGTAGTGCAGGAAAACCCAGCAGAGGAGAAAGTTGTTTAAGATATAATACATGCAGTATAATCATCTATTTTTTTATTTTTTGGTTAGTTGTGGGGCTTGAATTCAGGGCCTATGTGTTGCCCCTGAGCCTTTTTGCTAAGGCTAGTGCTCTACCATTTTGAGCCACAGCTGCACTTCTAGTTTTCTGGTGCTTACTTGGAGATAAGAGTCTCATGGACGTTGCTGTCTAGGCTGGCTTTGAATTGCCATACTCAGATCTCAGCCTCCTGAGTGGTTAGGATTACAGGCATGAACCACTCACTGGCACCCAGTTCAGTATAGTCTTTTTTGTGTGTGTGTGTGTATGTGTCAGTTGGGTTTGAACTCTGGGCCGGGTGCAGTCCCTGAGCTCTTTGGCTCAAGACAAGCACTCTACCACTTAGAGCCACAGCACCACTTCTGGTTTTCTGGTAGTTAATTAGAGCTAAGTGTCTCATGGACTTTTCTGCTGAGGCTGGCTTTGAACTACCATCCTCAGATCTCAGCCTCCCAGGATTACAGGTGGTGAGTCACTGGCACTCAGATCAGTCATTTTTAGGCTTCCTTGATCGAGTGATAACCCAACAAAGTTACCTTTCACTGCTCTAGGGGGATTAGAGCTGAATTGAGACAAGTCCCACAGACAAGGCACTGCCCTCCCTCCCTCACAAGCTCAGTCCCAGTCATTGCTAGACATTGCCACTTGCTGCTTTCTCCACGTCCACCTTCTTAATCCTATCCCTTCAAAATAACCCTCATCCATGCTTCCCTTCACCTGCTGCCCCAGCCCTACAGTGTTAACCCAATTAGGTCTTCAAGCCTGTACCTCTCTCCCACACCTTCATACCCACCAGATCACCAGAGTGATCTTTTTATTAGGTAGGTTTAGACATATCCCTTGTTTGCATAAAATCCTGGGATAGAGACCTACTGTTTTTAGAACAGAACTCCAGATTCCAACATGGCACCTATAACCTGGCTCTGATGTCTTCAAACAATTTTCTGAGCTTAGATCTGCTCACTCAGCTTTAGCCACATTGACTTCTATTCCTCAAAGTGGTATTTTCTTTTTCACTTAAGTATTTTATATACTCTTGCTACATCTGCTCCCCCACACACCTCAGCAACTCTGACATTGTCTACAATTTCTACATGAGCTGACATGCTGCTACTTCCTCAGTCTTCAGAAAACGTCTCTTATCACAATTTGTGATGATTCCTATTTACTATCAATGTTCATCACTAGACCAGGTCCTCTTAGACCCTGAGTGGGGTTTATTTTGTTCAACACTGCTAGCCAGTCCTGCTAGTTAAAGACCCAAATGCAGAGTTGAATACAACAGGCACTGTGCTTTCTCTTGAAATACCTATGCCCTTTTTACTTCTATGATAAACTTTTCATCTTTTTTTTTTCTGCCAGTACTGGGATTTGAAATCTGGACCACTGTCTTGCTCAGTTTTGCTTATCCAGCTATCACTGTACCCCTTGAACCTTGCCTCCAGCCTGGCTTTTAAAGTTGGGAGTCTTGTGGACTTCCTGCCTGGTTGGGCTTGGAATCACAACCCTCCCTCCATATCTCAGCCTACTGAGTGACTAGAATCTGGTGCCCAGATCATGAACCTATTATTGTGTCCAAAATTCATGGCAACTGTATTTCCTCACCTTAATCTTCTTTTCTAGTGGGGAATAAGAACCTACTGCAATCCGAGGGTCTTGAATATTTTTAGCCCAGGCCAATCTAGAAGATCAAAGAAAGAAATTAAGATTTGGAAAAAGTATCAGATGGCATGGTATAAAATAAATTGCATTAGGGAGTTAATTTGAGCCAACTTTTCATAGGTGGCAGAAGGCATTTTTTGTGGCCTAACAGGCCAGACTCTTCAGTTTTTCTGAAGGGAGGCATTATAAGTCTAAAGAGCCATATTATGTTTGAGGTTGTGACTGTCAGAAGCACTTTTAATACTGGTGAAGGAAAATTGAATTGCCATTTCAAGTACCACAAACCAGGTTTTTAAATCTTGTCAGCAACTGTTTTTTGTTGTTGTTGTTGTTGTTGATCATGGGGCTTGTACACTGGGCCTGGGCACTGTCCCTGAGCTCTTTAGCTCAAGATTAGTGCTCTACCACTTGAGCCACAGTGCAACTTCCGGTTTTCTGGTGGTTTATTGGCGATAAGATTTTCACAGACTTTCCTGCCTGGGCTGGCTTTGAACTGTGATCCTCAGATCTTCAGCCTCCTGAATAGCTAGGATTATAGGCGTGAGCCACCAGCACCTGGCTAACAACTCAGTTTTGATGAGAAAAGCTTTTAAGCAGGTAGCTTACGTTTGCAATGCTAGCTATTCAGGAGGCTAAGATATGAGGATTGTGATTTGAAGCCAGATGAGGCAGAAAAATCCATAATACTCTGCAACTAAGCAGCAAATAAGCCAGATTCGAAGACAGGGAGAGTAGTTCAGGTGGTAGCCACGAGTGAAAAAGGTGTGAGCAAGAATGCAGGACCCTGGTAGCAGCACTGAAAAAAAAAATTCAAGTCAGTAAGCCCATTCTTTTTTGTTGTTATCAGGCTTGAATTCAGGGCCTGGGCATTGTCCCTGAGCTCTGCTCAAAGCTAGCACTCTACCACTTTGAACCACAGTGCCACTTCTGGTCTTCACAGGGACTTTTCTGCCCAGGCTGGCTTCAAACCGTGATCCTCAGATCTGTCTTCTGAGTAGACAGGGTTACAGGTGTGAGCCACCAGCACCAATGGTAAGCCCATTCCAAAGTGCAGCTAGGTGTAAAGTTATTAGTAATAACTGATTTTCTATAGCAGTTACCTAACTAGAACATGTTTCATTATTCTTGTCAAAAGCTTGTATTTCAAGTAATAAAACAATGAAATAATAAGGGTTTTAAAAAATTCATAGAGAAAAACAGAAGAGAAATTTGCAAGATTAAGCACAGTTACATATAGGCATCCTGGATAACTCATTTGTCTAATTAGTAAACAATTTTTATATTTAGCAACCTGATTATAAAAACAGCTTTCTCGGGCTGGGAAGTTGGCTCAGTGGAAGAGCGCTCGCCTTGCATGCTTTAGGCCCTGGGTTCGATTCCTCAGCACCACATAAGCAGAAAAAAAAAAGCCGGAAGTGGCGCTGTGGCTCAAGTGGTAGAGTGCTAGGCTTGAGCTGAAGAGCTGAGGGACAGCACCCAGGCCAAGAGTTCAGGCCCCACGACCAGACCCCCCAAAAAAAACTCTGCTTTTTCTAGACAAGAATTTTAGATTGTAGAACTGGAGAAAACCAACAGCAAATTTGTCTTTATTTTATACTCATTTATCTTTTTCTTTTTTGGGGTATGCTGGTATGGTGGCATGAATTCAGGGCTTGGTAACTTCAGCTGGTTTGCTTGCTCATGGCTGATGGCCTACTATTTGAACCATGTCTTCAGTGCAACATTTTGCTAGTTATTTTGAGATGGAGTCTCAAGATTTTTGGGGGGGGGCTGAGGGGAGATGAGTTGGCTTCTAATTAAAATCCTCCAGGCCTCGGCCTTCTGAGTACTTAGTATTTTAGGCATGAGCCTAAAAGCCTCCTGGCTTTCTCTTTTTTGTGAGTTTCTTAAGTCGTTTCTTTAGCTATAGTTCTTCAGCTTTTCCTTGATACTGTGCTATAAGCTTAAGTAGATTACTAAATCTCCCAAATAACCTTCCCAGACAGGTACTCATCCTCCCTCACATGACAAAAAGAATGGCAGTCATAAAAGAGTTGGCCTCAGAGTTAGTTTTATACTGGGGGAATTCTGTTTGAATCCAGAGTACTCATACCCAGATGTGCACATTCTGTTATCTGTACCCCAAGTGTTGGGGGGAAAAATACCTACTGTTCCTGTGCACTCAGACCCAACCACTCTGAGTCAGTTACCATGGGAGGTTCTGAGTGGGGTGCAAGGACTGGGCCTAGCCAGTGTGGAAGTCCCCTACTGCATTCCTTCTGGGCATCTTCCAGGGTCACTTGGGCTTCTCTTGTAGCCTCCTGCTGTTTCTCCTCTGCAAGTCTGGCTTCAGCCATGGCTCTGTCGATGGCCACCTGCACATACAGCATCTTGGCTCTTTGCTTGCTCTCAGCCCTCTGCTTCTGAGCTGCCCCTAGTGCTCTAACCCCTCATTACTCTTAAGAGTACTGCTTGCTAGCCATTAAAGTTTCTGGCGTTCGTCTAGACTTTGAGCTATCTACTGCAGACCCCTGAGGGTGCTCTGGGTTGATTTCTAAGGCAACCAGAAGCAGTGTCATCACTATGCTGGGTGGAGACTACTGTGAGGTGGTGTGTGAAGACATAGCCTCTTGGCAGGAAATGGACTGCCTCCATGTGAGCTGGGTTCAGTGGCTGCAGCAGAAAGTAGAGGCACAGGCATGCATCACAGTGTGGTGAGACAGCATTTTGAAGGGCGGTGAGGGCACCCTTTTCTTTTGGACTGGCAATGGGGCTTGAACTATGGGCTTGGGCACTCCTTTAGCTTTATTGCTCAAAGCTGGCACTTTACTACAAGAGCCACAACTCCACTTCTGGCTGTTTTGCTGGTTAATTCGAGATAAGAGTTTACAGACTTTCCTGCCTAGACTGGCTTCAAACCTTGATCCTCAGATCTCAGCCTCCTGAGTAGTTAGGATTATAAGCGTGAGCTCTTTCTCACTTCTGTGTCTGTGTTGTAGAAACCTTAGGTAGATCCTGCATAAAGGTGCTGTGGCTCAAGTGGTAGAGCACTCGCCTTGAGCTGAAGAGCTGAAGGATAGCGTCCAAGCCCAGAGTTCAAGCACCACGACCGACCACAAAAAAAAAAAAAGTATTAATTCTGAGCATAAGCCTCCCTTTAAGCAAGTAATTAATGGGAGGCTTATGTTCAGAATTGCTATAAGGAAACTTACATAGGAAAATGATATGGACCTAAAAGTAGCTATTTAAGTATTATGTTGTAATTTTTTTTTACTTTCCCCATATGAGAAAGTAGAAGGGGAAAAGAAAATAAGCCAGGGAAATAAGTAATCTTTTGGTAGTAAATCATGTTGAAACAGAGAAAAGACTAGACTTCTCACAAGTGAAGAGCTTGCATTACATTTTTCTGTAATAAATATACAATGAGGACAATACTGCTAATATTTTGTCACATTCTTATATTTTAATTCTTCATAAAAATCATGATACCTTAGTCAGAAGTATTCTTTACAAGATGTTGATAGTGGTCCCTGGATGCAAAGTATTGTTGGTAACTTCTCATGTAATCAGCTCCAAGTGAACTTCACGGCATAATGGGAACAACTTCTGGCACTTGAATGGCTGGAATTATGGGTTTATTTCTGTGTTCTTCTGTTCAGAGGTTCCAGTCTACCACCACAGTGTTTCTGGGCCTATGGTAAAGCAGTAACAGATCCTAGCAGAAGGGCCTGGTGAAGCAGGGCTGCTTACTTCATGGCAGCGAGGAAGCAGAAGGAGCTGGAGCAAGCTATATCCCCCATTTCCACCCACAATTCCTTCAGCTAGGCCCCAGCTCCTCCAGCCTCCACATGAGACTGTGGAGGACATTTCCTATTCAAATCCTAACAGGCCTGAAGCTATGTTTTCAAAGAACAGTAATTATTGCCTGAATTTTTAAAAATATAGGCCTAATCAGATTGCTTGCTATCTCAAAAGTTTGTGTGTATGTGTGTCAATACTGAGGTGGCCTGGGTACTGTCCCTTTTTTGTTTTAAGATTAATGCTCTGCCACTTGTCATTGCTCTACTTCTGACTTTTTGGTGGTTAATTGGTGATAAAAAGTCTCATGGACTTTCTACCTGGGCTGGCTTTGTATTGAGATCCTTAAATTTCAGCCTCCCGAGTAACTAGGATTACAGGCATGAGCTATGAGCCTGGCCACATCCCTTTATTCTTTTCACATGCATGGGATCCACAATGGCCCCTCACCCACCCATTGTGCTGGAGCCCAAATTTAGGACCTGCACAGCCGATCCCTTCCCCTTCACTTCTAATACTAATAATCCTTCATTTCTTTCTTAGCTTTAGATACTTATCAATTTTATTGCTTTTTTGAACCAGTTTTTGGTTTCATTCATCTTTTCTTATTTTCTGTATTGATTTCTGCTCAACTTCTGAGTTTTCCTGCTTTTAGATTTCATTTTTTTCTGATTTTTTAAGGTGGAAGCTTATTTTTAGATTTGATTTATATACAATGTTTAATGTGTAAGTCCCTTTGTGCATCCCACAAATTTTAGCTTGTAGTGTTCTATTTTAAATTGTCTCTTGACATTTCTTTGACTAAATTGTTGAGCAACAATTGGAATTTCCAGCTACCTTTCCGGCATTCCATTGCAGTCATTATATGATTTCTATGACTTCAATGTTAAGGGGCTTTGTATTGAACAGCCCATTTTGTGGTTTATTTTATTGAATGTTCTATGTGAACATGTGTTGTTGGATGAAGAATTGTATAGATGTTAATCAGATTTAGTTGATCAATTGTGGTGTTCAATTCAACCATACCCTTACTGATTTTCTTCCAGCTGGATCTGTCAATTACTGATACAGAGGCGTTAAAGTCTCCAATCATAATAATAGTAGATTAAATTGCTTTTCTAACAGTATACATGGATATATTCACTAGTCTGTTAGGCACATACCTGGGTATTAAGGATTGTCTCCTTGGAGAACTGACCTTTTTATCATTAATTTGAAATAACTACAAGTTTTTCTTTATTAGTGTCAGCTTAGTTTATCTTCCTTTGACTTTTTATCTATCTCTTTTTATAAAGTGGATTCCTTGGAAACATCCACACTGACAATCTCTGTCCTTTTAATTGGTATACCAAGACCACAGATGTTTAATGTGATTTATTAAATTTTGTTTTGGACAGGAAGCAAGCAGGGAGAAATATAGATTGAAAGAAGACCACCACCAGACGTGTAGAAGATAGGCAAAAATTAGCTCTGTGTAGCAGCAATGTTTACCTTCTTTGTTAGGGGATTCAGTTTGAATTATTATTGGTATTTCTTATTCTTTTTTTTGTGTGTGTGTGATAGGGTCCCACTAGCCAGCCTAGGCTGGCCTTGAACAATAGTTCTACCTTACTTAGCCTCCTGATTGCTGGATGATAGATGTCTATCACCACACCTAGATCTGGTAGTTTTCTTTGTTGTTGGTAGTAATGGGGCTTGAACTGAGGGTCTTATGTTCTCCCATGGCTTTGAGTGGTCAAGTCTGGCATTGATATCCTTCAAATCAGCTTTTTAAAAATTTACTTGATTGGGACTGGGAATGTGGCTTAGTGGTAGAGTGCTTGCCTTGCATGCATGAAGCCCTGGGTTCGATTCCTCAGTACCACATACAATGTGGCTCAAGGGGTAGAGTGCTAACCTTGGGCAAAAGAAACTCAGGGACAGTCCCCAGGTTCTGAGTTCAAGCCCCAGGACTTGCACAAAAAAATTTACTTTATTGTTATTATAAAAGTAATGTGCAGAGAGATTACAGTTACATAAGCTAGGTAATTCATACATTTCCTTTTTATACAGTGTCCTCCCTTCCCTTACTCTCTCCCAAGTTGTATAGTTCACTTTTAACAGTGTTCTGTACCACTGCTGCACTTTTTCACCTTTTCCCCTTGAGTACTGTGCCTCCTACTCCAAAAGAAAATGAATAAACCATACAGAAAGAAAAGAACTTATTTGGAGGTTAAAGTCACAGATTTGTCTGCCTCAATTGGCTTGATCTTCAAATTTCAGCCTCCTGTGTGGCTAGGATTATCAATATACGCCACCAGTGCCTGGCAATATTTGGTAGTTTTCTACAAAGTATTCTTGTTCTATCTTCCAACTATTTTCTGCCTTCTTTGGTTTTAATATGATTCCATTTTTCCTTCTCTAACATACTACATATCCCTCTCATTTCACTTTGTACAAATGGTTGAGTTTGCTGCATACATTATAATTAGTCTAAGTTCTCTTTCAAGTAGCACTACACCAATTTAAGGATAGTGCAAGTACCTGTTACCAAAATATTATTAGTTCCTATTGCCTAGCTCTTATAATACTTCTGCAGATTGTTTCTGTAAGCTATGATTACTGAATACAAGTTGCTATTACTATTTTGAGTCAATCATTATACATTAGATCAAACTTTTTTTTTTTATGTGTTGGTACTTGCATTTCAACTCTCTGTTACTCAGCTTTTTTCCCTGGATTATTGCTCTATCACTTGAACTATGCTTCCAGTCCCCTCCTCCTGCTTTTAAATTGTCCAGGTTAATTGGAGATAAAGAGTCTCTGTATGGGCTGGCTTTAAACCTTGATCTTCCAATCTCAGCCCCTTGAAGTCAGTAGGACTACAGGCTTGAGCCACAAGTACCTGGCTAGATCAATTTTTTTTAAAAAAATGAATTGTTTTAGTTCCATTTTTCTTTCTATAGTTTATGTGACTTACATTATTTTCCTTCTTTCTGAAGAGTTTCTTTAGCATTTTATACAAATCAGATCTACTGGAAACAAATGCTCTCCATGTTTCTGTCTTAGTCTTTAACTTTTCTTTCATTTTTGAAGTATATTTTCTCTGGAATCAGAATTTTAGGGTTTTCTTTCTTTCACTTAACACTTTAAATAGTTCTTCCATTTTCCTTGAGAGAAGATGTAATTTTTACTCTACAGGGTAATATTTTCTCTGATTTCTTGCAGTTTGAATATAATATTCATCCATATATTCGAGGGAGGGGCCTTAATACTATTTGGTATTCTGGGCCTCTATAGTTAAAAGTTCAAATAAAGCCGGGCACTGGTGGCTCATGCCTGTAATCCTAGCTACTCAGGAGGCTGAGATCATGGTTCAAAGCCAGCCCAGGGAGGAAAGTCCGTGAGACTCTTATCTCCAATAAACCACTCGAAAACCAGAAGTGGTGCTGTGGTTCAAGTGGTAGAGCGCTTGCCTTGAGCTGAAGAGCTGAGGGACAGTGCCCAGGCCTAGAGTTCAAGCCCCAAGACCGACCAAAAAAAAAAAAAGTTCAAATAAAGTGAATTTGAATTTCCAGTGACACTAACTACATTTTAGGTGCTCAATAGCCAC